CCCCAAAACCCCAAAACCCCAAAACCCCAAAACCCCAAAACCCCATCAAGAAATTAGAAATTAAATAAATATATTCAAATCTTCTAAAAAATGTTGTGCTGATTTGGCAAGAGTAAGAAGACTCTAAAACGAACTATGTCACCATATAAAGTTCGCAGAAGGTCTGAAATAAACCACATTATTGAAAGAGATTCTGGAGAGCAGCCCCGGATTAAGAAAATTGTTATTAATCCTAACCAAAAAATTGTTGACAACCGTAATGGGAACGGAAATGTAAGGATTTATATGAGTTCCATTGGTCTCTAATCCTATTATTATCCTCTGAATTGATCTTAACCACTTATTTAGCTAAACTTTGAGCAGACTGAGAATCCTGGGTTTCAGTCCGAATTTAATCTGAATAGAGATAAGACAAATAAACATATTAAGAATAAGAAGAAAAGTAGAAGAAAGCTGAACAAGAATAAAAAGAAGAGGTCTAAAAAGCCCAAGGAAGATACGAAGAAGGAAGTCATGGCACTTGACTTAGAACAGAATGGTATTTTAGGTACAGCTTTGAGAATAGAACTCTTAAATTCTCTAATCTTAAGAATAAATTGACATTCACTAGATTAGACGAGAGTTCAAATTTTATGATAACAGTTGTAATAATACGTTTTAGATCTTCAAAATTTCAAATCTCAAGAAATAAATGAAGCAAGCTTAAATGATATCTACATTCAAATGCAACCTCTCAAGAGTCCATCAAAAAGAAAGCTCTTACAAGACTCTCCCTCATCTAAATCCCCTAATCCCAAACATAAACATCTAAAGCAACGTCTAAGTCAGCAAACATACTCTGATTGAGACATTTCCCTCTCTGATGGCAAAGGTACCTCTCCTGGTAGACACTTTAGGTCCTTCTGAACTAATGAATGATGATCTAAACGGTTCTGATTTAAATTTTATTGAGAGTCAATCGAATGTCACTGGGAATGAGATATTAATAACTCCACCTTTCTTGAAAGCAGAGAAACCAGCCATTGTAGACCAATCTATAGATGAGATAGAAGAGGAATGAGATGAAAAATCCAAGCTCGTTCTTTCAGTTAAAAGTATCCAGCTGTCAGAGACTCAAGAGTTTAACGAGAATATTAATAAAAATGAACTCAAAAATAAATTAGGTACGTCCAAGCAATTATCTTTAGATCTGAAGATAAACTCCAGAGCAACTATGACCTCGAATAAGTACTGGCGATCGGAGAAGGAATCAGCAGCATCAGAAGTTTCATTTAATTCAGAAATTTCATCAGTTATGGTGAGCTCATACCGCAAAAGTGCTTTTTATGAGTAAGTTTCTAAATCCTTGGATGTATAAGTAATCTTATATAGACCCTTCTTCGCAACAATGAGGCCAATAGAGATTGATGATAATGATGTATCCGTTGAAAACAAGATGAGAGTCTTAACTCCAACCAGATCAGTCGATAATTTCGAAATTATTTCGAAATTTGATTCAAAATCTCGGTGAAATAGCCTTGTGGAAGTAAATCCCTCCGATACCGTGAATAAAAGAATCGGGTTTATGATAAACATGAATATGAACACAACTAATGATGCTACTTCTCAAATAGAAGAAAAGTCAGTTAGGCTAAGTGCACATATGCCAGGAAACATGATGCGTAATCCTATGGATAATTATGAAATCCAACAGGAACTCAAGAGACATACTTCTCAGAACCGAAGAATAGATAACAACATTGATAACAAAGAAAGCAAATTATTGAAACAAAAAATGAGCCAACTGTACTCTAAAATAATTCAGAGAAATTATGAAATAGATGCGGTTAAATATGCCAACAAGAAGTTGGATAAAAGAATTTCCTATTACAGACAAAAAGCCCTAAAAATGTCAAAAGCTCTGAAGACACTCTCTGATGAACATTCCATGTTGAAACAGAAAGAGATGAACTTGATAATTGAGAAAGCACTGAATTAAATAAGAGATTTAATGAGTAAATGAAATTCATATTTTTATCATTTTTTGATAATGAAAACATATGAATGCTTTTCTTTTAAATTCCTAAAGGTGATCTTTCAATTCTTCTTACAACCAAATATCTTCATTTTCCCATACTATTATCCTTTCCCCCTTCTACAACTTTCTCAATGCTCTGCCTTCCAAAAAACCAGTCTCTGTCACCCATTTTCCCACCCAGTCCCCTAAAATCAACCCTGTTTGTTAAATATTTTCAACATCGGACACCTAACTTGGGGTTTTGGGGTTTTGGGGTTTTGGGGTTTTGGGG